GCCTGATAAAAGTTTCTTAATTTCTTTTTAATTTAAAAAAATAAAAAGTATCAATATCTTTTAAATGTCTCTCTCTCTCTCTCTCTCTCTCTCTCTCTCTCTCTCTCTCTCTCTTGGAAGAAAGTCCAATCTAACAAATCTAAATTTTTGTATCTAACATCATTGCAATCACGGTAACAACACCAATGAACAGTAACCCAAATGATCACTAGTATTACCAAATAACTGCTTGAAAAAGTATAAAAATTATTTTTGGGAATATTCAGTTCATCAAATCCTATACATAATGATCAGTGATTTCATTATACATATTACCCAAAAATACCTAAATATGCAGAATGGTGTTCTAGCAGAAATCGCAATTTTTTTGTAACAATGAACAAAACAATCTGTAAAAGCATATGTATGTAAGGTTTTAATGGAAAGCTTCCAGTTGAAGATCACATCAGAGATATCTATAATTATTCTTATAAAAACTTGAAGCCCTCCATTAAAACTTTAGATACATGTTTTTACAGCTCGTTTTGTTTTGTTGTCGCAAAATAGCTGATTCTTGTTGGAGCATCACTTCTGCTTTGTTCAAAAATGTGTACTTAATTAACATATGTACGTTATAATATTTTTAAATTAACATTTTCATAATTTCAGAAAAAAGTATGGTTTACAAATAATTGTTGGAAAAGTTACTGTTTTCACTAGTACTGTCAAACAATAATATATCTGTATACATATGAAATTTGTTAAAAATCAGAATATAAACATAGTTATGACTTTTCTTAAACAAGATTGTAATGAGATAGAAATGATGACTTTTAACAATTTTCATGTGGATGTATTGTGTGCAAATTTAAATGTTTAAACAAGATTCAGATGTTTAAACAAGATTCAGATGTTTAAACAAAATTTAAATGTTTAAACAAGATGGATTGTAGACATATTTGAAACAATAATGTCTAACTGCTCATTTCGAATAATTGGACGCGGTAATTCTTTGCCATCCAATCGTAGCAACCTCGGGAATCTCTTCCGAAGGTCACTTGTGTACTCACTGTGGCGAGACTTGTATCTATTGCATATAGGGTTTCCGGATAATGTTAATTCTTCTAGTTTTAAATTGTTTATACAATTCAGTTGTTTAATATCTTGGATCTAAAATATGCAATAAATCAGGTTTTAAAACCGGGACATTATATTGACGATCATGTCATATATATATATATTTTTTATTCGCGCGGTCACTTACCTTATTATCACCAATATAAAGAATCTTCAATTTCGAGAACTTCTTGTTCAACACCTCAAGTATCTCGAGATTCTGTAACTCGTTGCCTTCTAAATTCAATTCTTCAAGATTGGGAATGTGTTCCCCAACAATATCTAATACAGCCATCAACATAACAGGGTGGCACAACGCACAAAAGTAATCCGAGTAAAGATCTGTAAGGCGGAAAATTACATGTAGTTTGAACTTACAAATCTTATTAACATCTTTAATATATTTATAGGGAATAAAAGTCAGAAATTTCTTCGTACCAGAATCAACATGAAACTTTGACAGGTCAAGAGCATTTTTCTCTGGTACATATCTCTTGACCATGGCTTGCTTCAATCGTTCTTTCATCTTTTCATCAATTTCACAAATTGGTAATCCGGGCTTCACCTTCACTTGTAACCGGAATCCGTCATTCATCCGAACCTTGCGATCGCAACGCAACAATGCGTTCGCCGTCTTATGGTCATCAATGTAAAAACTGGCTTCAGTGCCTATTACCTTGTACTGTAAACAATTTAGCAGTGAGGATTTATGGTTTCGAGGTGATTTTTATTTTTATTGTCCCTTTATTTATACATGCAGACTGTCATTCAAATTACATTAATACATTATACTAAATAAAAAATATGAACTTTTCCTACAAGATAAAAATAATAGTTACCATTATGGGAATGAATTGCCAGAAGAGAGGTGGCATACAGCTGAGAAGCGCATGAATAACTTCATCCTTCTCATACTTATTACCAAATGGTATCTGTAAGACACAAGTAAAAATTTAGTCCAAGCTGTAATATACATATCATTGACATAACATAATTATTTGCGTATAATATATGTACTTACAATTATTTTATACCCATTGGATTGAACAAGCGGAAACACCCGCGACCTATCTCTGCGGTAAGGCTTAAACACGCTATGTTTCGTACGATCATCGTGACCTAAAAGCAAATTTATGATAAAGCAATAAAATTACACACAAATCATTGTTTATATCTTAGAACAGATTATTTTCCAGGCAATCAATATAAATGTGTACATATTTAATATTCAGTCATTTTTTTATTGCAATTCCTCAAGATCGCACGATCCGAATATTTCATGATGTCGTGCAGATAACCCTGGGATAACACAGCCGTTCGGTTTCCTGAAAAACGTCTTATAGTTATGTTGTAGTGCCATTTTCAAGATTAAAAGCGATAGATAATTCAACCGCGATTCTCCACGAAAAGCGCGGGGGAGACTGTTTCGCTCCTCTTAATCCCAATTAATCAGACGTCGGCTGCAAAAATTTAGAGTTATTTCGCAAAGCCACTTTCGAAAAAAGATCGGAGGCGATTTTTACAACTTTCTACACCGACAGAAGGTGCGGTGTCACAATCCCGTTAACATCGCGTTCGCGAAAGACGCAGTTCATTACAAAACTCTCTCGCTCGCTCGCTTGAGATAGGATCGATTCAGACTATACGACACGGACCGGCACCGACCTGCATCATGCAGGTCGGTGCCGGTCCGTGTCGTTGCCGGAACGTGACGGTCCGTGTTGTATAGTCTGAATCGACCTTTATTCGTTAACAAATTGATTTGCCACTTTTTCTCCCGCGCAGTTAATTTCCTCCGTATCGCGCGACCGACTTGATCATCCGCGCTGCAGAGACGCGCTTATCAAAGCGGGAAAAAAAATTGCGCAGTTGCATACTCTGCACGGAGCAGAGCGTTCATCTTGTCTTCTCGTATGCAACACCAACGGACCGTTGCAGCGCGTACGCAAAATGAACCGAACGGATAAACGCGGGCGGGATATCATTTCGCGCTCTCGCGGGAGAAAACCGCGAGCCCGAATCGCGCGTAGCGAGCCGTGAAGCGGCTGAGAGCACTCACCATAATACCATTTGTTCTCCTTTCCTCGGTTGTTACGTCGGCCGCCCCTCCTTTTATTGTTGCCTGATCTTTTCGGCATCTTGCTCGAGTCCACGGAACCCAAGGGATCCACGAAGCTAGACGCGAGACCTAAACGAAAACCGCGAAACACCTCGTTAACAAATTGATTTGCCACTTTTTCTCCCGCGCAGTTAATTTCCTCCGTATCGCGCGACCGACCTGATCAATCCGCGCTGCAGAGACGCGCGTATCAAAGCGGGGAAAAAAATTGCGCAGTTGCATACTCCGCACGGAACAGAGCGTACATCTCGTCTTCTCGTATGCGACACCAACGGGCCGTTGCAGCGCGTACGCAATATGAACCGAACGGATAAACGCGGGCGGGATATCATTTCGCGCTCCCGCGGGAGAAAACCGCGAGCCCGCTGCCCGAATCGCGCGCAGCGAGCCGTGAGGCGGTTGAGAACACTCACCAAAATACTCTTTGTCCTCGTTTCCTCGGTTGTTACCGCGGCCGCCCCATCTTTTGTTGCCTGATATCTTCGGCATCTTGCTCGAGTCCACGGAACCTAAGGGATCCACGAAGCTAAATGCGAGACCTAAGCGAAAACCGCGAAACACCTAGCTACTATCTCTATCTACTCGCACAACCCTACTCCTAACCTCGAACTTCGCCTAACGATTCTCTTTGCCCTTCACTCTTCCGAGCTACGCAAGCACATCCGAACACTAGCGACGCTGTGGTACGAATGAACGAGAAACGAGCGAGAATAGCGAGATGCGCCGGATGCGCGGCTCACGCGGCTGTCGGCCGTCGGGTCGGGTCGAGACGACGCTGCGCGCGCATGCGCAGAGGGGGAGCCGCCGATGACGACGCGACCGATGATTGGCCGAACGGCGCGGCAGCCGCGTACTTTCCCCGAAGACTACAAGGTGTCATCAGAATAAATACGAGGGCATAGGATATCGCGTTTAAACTCGGAATTTTTACGTTTCGGAACTTATAATTCTTACGCGCCTACTTAAAGTCGCGCTGCAGCGTCGTCACGAATGACACTCTATCGACTTAAAAACTACAAGGCGTCGTCAGAATAAATGCGAGGGCATAGGATATCGCGTTTAAACTTCGAATTTTTACGTTTCGGAACTTGCAATTTTTACGCGGGAATATTAAAATCACGCTGCATCGTCGTCATGAATGACACTCTATCGAATTAAAACTTACGAGACATCATTAGATTTAATGCCGGGACATAGGATATCGCGTTAGAAATAAAAAATTTTTAATTTTCGAAACTCGCGATTTTTTTGCGCCAACTTAAAGTGGATGGTTTGTCGCCAGTACTCTAGCGAATCAAGAATTTCGAGACATCGTTCGATTTCGTGCCTGGGAATTATAGGCAATCGTGTCCGAACTGCAAAATTTTAATTTTTCTGCACTTGTCAGTGTTTCGCGCGGAATCTTAAAATGTGCTGAATCTTCGTCAAAAAGCGATTGTGGAAGCACTGAAATCTTAGCTTTCCTACGAGACCAAGATCATCTTGCTATGATATTTCTGTGCGAAGATATTGATGATTACATTGACTCGTGATCTCTCTCTCTCTCTCTCTCTCTCTCTCTCTCTCTCTCTCTCGATCTCGGTATAGAATTAATTTTATTTCCAGAATTCATTAACGATATCGCACAAACTAAGGATCCGTGATAAACGATTCTTATCTGGTTAGAAGCGCTGAAATCTTAGCTTTTCAACAAGACCAGGTACATCTTGCTACGATTATTCTGTGCGAAGAAATTGACGATTATATCGAGTCCTGATCTCGATCTCGGGACAAAATTAATTTTATTTCCAGAATTAATCAACGATATTTCAGAAACTAATGATCCGAGATAAACGATTCTTATCTCGATAGAAGCGCTGAAATCTTATCTTTCAAACGAGATTAGGTTCATCTCGCTATGATTTTTCTGTGCGAAGAAATTGACGATTATATCGACTCGCGATCACACATAATCCGGAGACAAGCAGCAGACTGCTCGTATATGCGGCGTCTCGCGCGGCGTCTGGCGCGGCGGTGTTTACTATCGAACACCTGTGCCTTGTATGTTTTGAAGTCAGTTTTTTGATGCTCGCGTACTACTCGCGTAAAAACTCGTGCGACATTCTCAGAAGAATGGTGCGCGCGCGCCCTATTTTTAAAACGCTATAACTCTGCGAAAAATCGAGGTAGCGAGATGAACCAAAATCGAATCTTCTTCGTTTCGCATCCCGCAGATGTCTACCTTGAATATGTGTGTCTTTATCATAAAATGTTTGTCGGGGCATAGGAAATCGCGTTTAAACTACGAAATTTTTTATTTTTGGGACTTGCAATTATTTTGCACCAACATTAAAGTTGCTGCATCGTCGAAGATAATGAGACTTTAGCGAATCAAAACTTGCGAGACATCGTTAGATTGCGTGCCTGGGAATAGGCAATCGTGTCCGAACTGCAATATTTTTAATTTATTATTTACTCCAATTTATTGTACTAGTTCACTAGTGTAGGAACAGAAAACAAGCCTATTATCGTTTCTCTTAGAATATTTTGCACACATTAGTGTGCATGTCACTACGCATGCTCTGTCAGTCTGCGCCGCTTTATGTCTACTGTCGCTGCGCATGCCCCAAAAATCCGGCCCCTCTCCCATCACTGTCTGGCAGACCTTCCAAGTTTGCATCACTAGTTGGCAGTGCTTGGAAGTTGAAACACACGTTAAATATACAAGTGCGCGTTTAACCTGATATAAGGTTTGTTTTCTGTTCCTGCATTAATAAACTAGTACAGTAAGCTAGAATGAGAAAAAATATGCTTGTCTTACTCTAATTTATTGCGCTAGTTCACCAATGTCTGAACAGAAAACAAGCCTATAGTCGTCGCCGTCGTCGGTTCACAGTACAACAGATGAAACCTCGTGGACTTGCAGTCAGTCTCGTCAGTTCGCTCTCGCATGACACGACGTTATGGAGCACGCAGGAAGGGAATCGGAATCCGGTGCCAATCGTGGTTCGGCAAACAGCACGGAGCAAAAGAGCAATCCCTGGAGCAATTTATCGACCATAACCACGTTCGACCGAGGTAACGTGACCACTCCGACAATCCGGCGCTCTGTTTCGAATACGCAAAATAATACTCTTGTCCGAAATGTGGTACTAAATGATCTTTACGTTTGAATTCGAGGTAACGTTAATCTAAAATCCATATATTATTTTTCTTACGAAATAAGAAACACTGAAACATATAAAAAATTTCAAGTTTTTGATGTTGAATCTTTTATAGAGTGACTGATTCGATTAAAAAAGGAACACAAGTTGTCTTGCAAAAGTGTCTATTCAGAACATTTTTTAAAATAATTTTTTAAATCATATTTTGTTACATGTTTATATCTATGTCATATGTATTGCATCATTTTTCGGTTGAGAATTCATGCAGACATTTTTGTAATTTTTTTAAATTTGATTATATGATATCAGAAATTTGAAAAATCTGGTCTGTTTAAAAACAGGTGATAATACGAAATTGACAATTGGCTTGAGGGATACTAATAAAAGTCCAAGCGACCAGAAAATCGCGCCATCTAAAAATCCAGAAAATCAGGAGCTGCATGTAATTCGGACAGTCTTTGTAGGATCACTCCTGCAATTATTATGCGACATATTAGGAAGGGACAAAAGTCACGGAAACAAAGCATTTTCTGGTAATCAATTTCTTTAAACATCACTACTGACGTGGAGAGATATTTCTACTAAGAGCTGGTGGTAACGTTTATTTTATAGATATCCTAAAGATATTCAAGGAAATGCGTTTAATTGACGACACCTACGATGCAGTGGAATTTGAAGGGCTAAAAAAAAAGTACCAACAGGCTCTTAAGCAGATGTTCTCAATTGCTTATAGTGAATGCGAAAGTGACATTGTTCCATTCGTTTCAAAGTATTACACAGTACTTTATATAATGTCTTTCCAGATCTTGTGACATTATAACATTGCACTGAATTATTTGCAGGCCGCTAACACCAAAACTGCGTTATGAGGAGGAATTTCGTGAAATAAGTTTTATTGCTAAGGGAGGTTTTGGTAAAGTTTATAAAGCGCAACATCGTCTCGACGGCATTGAATATGCGATTAAAAAAATTAACGTGCCCACCGATCAAGTAAATGTTATACATGAACAATTAAATGAAGTAAGAACAATGGCCAAATTAGATCATATTAATATTGTATCCTACAAAGCGGCTTGGATCGAACCACCGTCCTATAATTCGAGTGTGCCATCCACATATCGTGAATCGCGTAGATTACAGACGTCGAAAGATCAAGAAAAGCCGTGCAATATGCTGTTCGACGAGTTATTCGATCACAAAAATGGTTTGAATCTCAATAATATTAAGATATATCAATCATACAATGAGCAAAATATATTGCTAAAATATCTTTTAATATGTGTACAGGTATAAAAACGAAAAAGCAATGTAAGGTATATAGAAACACTGATGCTATTCGTGATGCTATTAGTGAAAGATTTGAAGAACTCCATTCGTCGGATGACATCGCAGAAGAGAGAATAACTGAGGAAAGTAACAACGGGGAAAGTACTGATTTCAGTTCAGACATAGTGTCTTTCCGAGTTAGCAAGAGCAATGAAAATCTAGATCAAACGAATATAAATGAGTATACTAAAACCTCTAGTTCCAACACAGTGACTTTCAGTAGCAAGAGCAAAGAAAACTTTGATCAAACAAATACAGATACGGATACTAGTAACAGTTCGTATAAAAAATCTAACCTGAAAGTATCTATATACACTCCCAAGGAAGTAAGTAAATAATACAGATGTGATATAAATCTGTATAAATACATGTTTTGTTTTAATACAGATTGTGAATTGAAAGTATATTTTGCTAAAGATCAATTTTAATACTTATAAATATTAAAATTTTAATACTAATAAATATTAAAATTTTGTCAACAGAATCAGCCGTCTATGACATTGTACATTCAAATGGCTCTGTGTGAAGAAACCCTCCAACAATGGCTGCTTAGTAAGACAAGTGCAACGCCTGGACCTTTAGCTAAAGAAATATTTCGACAGATTCTTTCTGGAGTCGATTATATGCATTCTCAGCAAATTGTACATCATGATATAAAGGTAACAATGCGCATGTTTTAATCGACGTTACAATCTTTCGTAAAATATAATGGAATATATTTATAACTTCAGCCAAGCAATATATTTATATCGAACTCGGGACGGCTTCAAATTCAATTAAGTGATTTCGGATTAGCTTGTCCATTGCAAATAGGAAATAAACATGCTGGGGTTGGCACTCGTATGTATGCAGCACCAGAACAACTAATGGGAAAGTGTGATATAAAGGTAATGAAGAGAAAAGAAAGAAAGCTCTAATGTACGTATATATTTTAATATATCCTTTCATTTTAATTCCTTTTATTCACAGAGTGATATCTACAGCATAGGAGTCGTCCTTACTGAGCTGTTAACGTCAGCAAAAACCCGAATGGAATTAAGTAACGCAATCCGTGATATAAAAAATGGTATAATACCAGATGATCTCAAGCATTACAAATGGGTGAGCGTAAATTATATTGAATTATTTATTATATTTTGTCATATATTACAACACTTATAGTTTTTTGTATTAAATCTGTATTGTGTATGTGCTTTCATTTAGGTACATGTGGTCACGCAATTAGTGCAAGAAGATCCCACTAAACGACCTATGGCACAAAAGGTTTTGCAAGACTTGAAGAAGGAGGATTTGCTAAATGGATTGAAAAAAATTCTTACAAATTTTACAAATAGAATTCTTAGCAAAGATGACACAATTCAAGAGCTACAAGAAGATGACAGATTATTACAGGAAATAGAAGGGGTAATATATAATACTATTAATACAACTTCAATGTTACAAAGAGACTGAACTCACCCTTTTAGTTAGTTCCTGGAAAAGTAATATTAGTTTTACAATATTTGAAATACATTTTAATTTAATTGAAAAATCTTGTACTTTTAACGTTCTATGTTCAAGTCTTGTCTTAAAGTAAGAGTACAAGGCGGCCATTCTACTCGGGGCTAATTAGTCAGTAAACTTAGTTAATTATTGCAGTTCAGCTGAGTATCTAATATGCTAAGACTATTAATTAGATATTGTTAATTAAATATATCGAATCTGACGCATGCAAACCATCTTGCGATAGAGTACTTTTTATCACTACTATGTATGTAGTTATAGTAGTTATTGGACATGCATATTTTTGTATTGCCGCAAATATATTACGGAATATTTTGTTTCCTTTTATTTTGCATACTCGGCAAACACAAATGTATCAAATAATCTGTTACAAATATAAGCTATCAAAGTAGCAAAACATGATAATATATATGTATATAAGTGATTTTATTATACCGTCTTCGATTTATTAATATTTAATATTAATATTTATTAATATTTATTAATACTTAAGATTATATACTATGTTTTATACAAAATTGTGTTAACGTTACTGATAGAGTAGTCGGAATCTAATAGTAAATTACAGATAGTATAAAAAATGTATGAGGTATTCTTTGAAAAAGATTATAAAAGAAAGAGGAAGATACACATCTGAAATGTTCAACAGAATAATACTAAAAGAGTTTTCATAATATTCTTATAACTTAAGCTACTATGTGTTGTATTCGTCTTGAGGTAATTCTCTTAAAATTGTATCCAACAGCGTCTTAAGGCGCTGCCCAAAAAATATTCTGGAATTAGTAGAATCGGGAACGGCACATTGTCGCAACAAATGCTCAATATCTGGATATTGCTGTTCAATATTAATAGGTACACCGTGAAGAAATCCACCGGGAAATGCGTTTTCATTTCCTGAATTCAATAAAAGCTGCAATCACAGATTTGATAAATATGCGGTGTAATCGGTCAGGCAGGATATTTCTATAATTATACAATACATTGTAAAAAAATGTCCAGACATTCCTGCCTGTGTACACGTTAACATATGCAGTGTGCAAAAATATACGCGATATAATATCTGACTCGTTAATGTACAAATAAAATAGCGAGTACCTGACAAATCGCATAGTAATTGTGATCACTTAGATGATGATTGCAAATATCCTCAGCAGAAAATGCAAAACAGTTGGGACAATCAAGATGCAACGTGTTCTCGTGTATCTTCTGCCATTCCTTTGATTCATCTACAAATTAATACGAATGCAATGTGATATTCGTCTGCTTATATCAACAGTATTCTTGCAACCAGAAATTCTCTTTTCCTCGCAACAGGAAAATTTACCTTCTCGAGAAATATTTTTGTCAACAACAATAATATTCTCCAAATCGATAAATTTTGCCACGTCTTCACGATCAACGGCAATATTATCAGCCGATATATCCGTTAAATAAAAACCGAATTTTTCGTTTTTGAAAGTAAACATATAAGCGGCATTTAAAAGGCTCGAAGCTATCTTTGCTCTTTGAATCCAAGATTTGTCGTAACAATCAGAAAGCGGTAACCCGATATATTCTTCGATGATGATTCGACCGCATGCTCCAAAATATTTTGGCACAGGCCATCCACTTTCGGCAGGTAATATCTGAAAGTAACAGAGGAAACATCATCCAATAACCCTTATAATTTGTTATAACGATCACATAGATTTTACAGGCCGTCATAATTCACCTGTAGGACCAGTGGCTCTGGATTTATGGACACCAATGTCCAGAGATTAATTAGATATTGTGTGGGGTTGATGTACTTATTGTTAAGGTGAACATCATAAAACAGATCGTCTAAATGCTCTAACGTTGGACAGAGCCGCAAGCGACTCGTATCGTCCTTGGAAAAATCAGAAGTGATCGTTCTTCTTAAAAGATGGTAAAAATCTGCCGTATATCCGTCTAATGGACCAAGGATCGAGCAGGGATGTCCCAAATGGAGCGTGTTGCACAACGTAACGTCAAGCGCATTTAACTCGGAAGAGTGTGCCAGCTTCTTCAGCACCACCTTGCTTTGATTATACGTTCCGAAGAATACATTTTTAACGCCAAACAAGTGGAAGATTATAGCGTTGACCTCGTTCCACGAGAGATCGATCTCGTGAATGTTACGGCACGCGGAAACCCCATAACACGCTGGACACTTGTGCAGCTCCGTCAGCTGCGTTACAGAGGGATACAAACTTTGCAGCAGAACGCTTATTCTGGAAGCAAGAGCGCAAATGCCAATTAGCAGCAGTACCTTCCATTTTTTTAATCTGAAGAGATTACGTATATAGTGAAGGATCATGAATCGGGAATCATGTCCTTCCTTCCTTTGTCTTTTTATACAGAGGCAACATATATTGTTCAAATTTTCCTTTTTCTGTCACTGAGTGGTTAACTATATAGGTTTTCAATTCCAATTATACAGCGCAGAATGACTCAAAGTTATTACTGTTTATTGTCTTTAGATTAATCTTCTCAAATTTCAATCTGCATAATACGCTCAAGACTTTCCAAAGTATGTGTTTACACTTTACATCTCGTGCGTCCGGCGCTTTAAATCACTTCAACGTTACTTTTTCAATGAGTTTCGGAACGCGCTAAAGCTGAACAACTGCAAGCCACGGACTGACCATGGACCTATAATGGATGTGTTCGAAAATGGATTTAGTTACTGCCAGTGAAAACAGTATAGTTGGTAGCAATGAAAATTACTGGTGCTGCGTTTTTCTTCCGCCAGTAAAGACGCCAGTTTTACACCGCGTGTCAGTCTTTTTGTCTCTTGCTGAAAAGCACCCAAAGATGGAAGAATATATTTTATTTGATAATATTATTTTTGAGTCATCTAGTAGTGCTTCTTCGAGTGACAGTAATGATGATGAACAGTTACTAAATATAATTTTAAATAATAACAGAAATGAAAGAAGAGTGCCAAAAATTCGAAACTATTTGGAACATGTTGTTGCATTGTACACAGATATCGAATTTAAATCACATTTTAGGTTAATATAAGCTATATACATATTTATACATAAAAAATATTGCATTCATAATTATAAAATATTTGTATTATTAACACAAATATTTTAAAATAATGTATGCAATATTTTTTATGTATAAATATGTATATAGTTTATATTAACCTAAAATGTGATTTAAATTCGATATCTGTGTACAATGCAACAACATGTTCCAAATAGTTTCGAATTTTTGGCACTCTTCTTTCATTTCTGTTATTATTTAAAATTATATTTAGTAACTGTTCATCATCATTACTGTCACTCGAAGAAGCACTACTAGATGACTCAAAAATAATATTATCAAATAAAATATATTCTTCCACCTTTGGGTGGTTTTCAGCAAGAGACAAAAAGACTGACAAGCGGTGTAAAACTGGCGTCTTTACTGGCGGAAGAAAAACGCAGCACCAGTAATTTTCATTGCTACCAACTATACTGTTTTCACTGGCAGTAACTAAATCCATTTTCGAACACATCCAATATATGGACTGCGCATTCCCCTTATATTATACACAAGTCACAGTATAACCAGTATGGGCACTCTCTGTCGGTACCTTTGATCTGGGCGTTCTCAATTTTCCGCCATGTTTTTACTATATCCAACAGCGTATCAACGGCTCTGCAACGGCTAAAGTGCCTGGGCCCTTTTCAGGATCGTATCCAGGAAAGGCGCATACGAACTGGCGTACATTATTTATTGTAAAAAGAAATCTTTGGAGTGGTCCAAATCGAATCCGACACCCTGTATACTATGTCTATGGTGCTGTGTGGGAACTGGACAATTCTCATGCGCACAAGAGGGGCTTGAGACTGTTTCTCTCTAACCTTATCTTTAATTTTATTATAGTACTAGATAGGATATTATAAATCCTTTATATAAGAGCACGGCAACCGCGTAGTTTCCCCGTAGGGCGGTGCTCTTTGTGAAATATTTTCTTCTACCTTCCTTTGGCGTGTAACGAACGACTCGTCTTGGCCGTGTCGGCAGCCGTTGCTGGGCGCCGAGTGCCATTACCAGAAGAAGAAGAAGTAACGAACGACGAAGATAAAAGGCGGACGGGGTCAACGTCCGGGCTCAACGTACGGTCGTCTAACGACGACGCAGCCAGGGACGTTTAAACTGACGGCCAATTCTTATATCCGTATTCATAGTCGTTCCTCAATTCTCAAGGGTAGTTTGTCTTTGTCTCGCTTATGGTAAAACGTAGTAGAGAGACAAAGACAGACTAACCTTGAGAATTGAGGAACGACTATGAATACGGATATTAGGATGTTTGCAGAAGTATAAATCTACGTTGTCTAGACAGCTCTATCCTCGTCATTCGTTACGCGCCGAAGAAGGATAGAAGAAAAATTTCCACAAGCAATACCGCCCTTCGAGTCGATAGAGTGTCATTCGTGAAGACGCTGCAGCGCGACTTTAAGTAGGCGCGTAAGAATTATAAGTTCCGAAACGTAAAAATTCCGAGTTTAAACGCGACATCCTATG